GTGCATGATAGTCACAGACAGTGTAAGGGACGTTCAAAGTGTTGAGACTGAGACGCTACAGGCCTCAGCTGGCAGGCTAAGTGTTAAAGTTCATGAAAGGACCATTAGAAAAGGACTGAAGTACGGCTTTCTCAGAAGGGTTGCCAGCAGGAGGAAGCCTCGACGCTCTAAAGAAAAAACGACAGTCAGGTTTGCGAAGCTGCATCTGAACAAACCAGAAGACTTCTGGAAATATGTCCTTTGGACAAATAAAGCAGGATGCAGCGATGCTGCAGGGGTCCAGTCCTGACCTCAGCCTGACTGAAAGCTTCAGAGAGCTGTGAGACTGATGAAGTCATACAGAAAACAATTACTTCTTGCTGAATCATGAGGTGTAATTAGTTTTTCACAGGGCTGCTGCCTTAAAAACCTTTCTTTTACGATGCAGTTTTAGCTCCCGAGAGAAGCTTGTTAGAGTACTGTTGCATCACCTTCATTTGGGTACTTGGTCCTAGTGCACATTTACCTCACAGTGTACTGACTTCACCTCATTGCATAGTGAGGTGATAGCATCTCCGCTACATAATAACAAGCTTGTTACGTTCCCTTAGAGTGACGTCTTTAGCTCAAAGTTAGCTGTTGCAACTTTGAGTTTTGTTACACCAGCAACATAACTGTGTCTCCACCTGTGTGTCTCCAACCGTTTCACTACAGCTGCATGTCCCATCATCTGCAGTGAGAGTAAGACAGAAAATCCCCCGGTGTCGTAGATTTGCTTTATTTCCTTCGTGAAAACAAAAATAAGAGAAAAACTTTGTGATATTTTTAGAGGAATTATTTCTTTTAGGTGATTAACATCATTAACTAACATCATTCATTTGGCATTTGTCAGCATCATCAGTGAAAGTTGTGCCAACAGTGGAGATGTTACAAGTTACAGTAGGTTGCAGTTACCTGCTGTACCAGCAGAGGGAGATATTTTATTTTAAGCCGATGTGAAAATAATGAGTTTAAACAGACTTTACTAACACATGTAAATACATATTAGCCACCTAGCTTAATCGTCCCTGGCATGTATTTCATACCTTCCTTGATCACTAGCGATTTCTTGGCTTTAAATGTATCATCTCCCCCTGCAGGTGGGCTGCTTGGACAGGCGTGTCTGTTACGTGCTTTCCCGTGAAATTAGGTTGCTTGGAGACATTGTTTGGCCCGACACTAACAACAACAAAAAAGAATAACAAACAAAAGCTTTCAAGCTCGTCTAAGTTTGCACTACGTCATGCACACCAACAAACCTCATGCTTCTC